CCGCAACGGGAGAGGCCACAACAGTGAGAGGCCGCGTACCGCAAAAAAAAAAAAAAAAAAATGGGGGAATAAGAGTTTGAAATTCTTATGAAAAGTATCTTTAGCCATTATCAGAGCTTGGTCCATGCAGGGCAAAGCTCCCCTCCCCCATTTAATGATGCTCCATGGTAGTCTTTTGCCATCAGCCTGACCTCCAAGGGCTTAGGGGTCTTCTCTGGAGAGGGGGTCGCCCCTCTGGGTGTGTGTTACTGACAGAAGAGCCTGCTGCTTTCTGCTGAACAAAGTCCTCGAGGCCAGTCACGCCTGCCCACGCGCCTTTGCACAGGCTCCTCCCTCTGCCTGGAACGTTCATTGCCGTTTGTCATCAAGAGAGGTCGTGGAGGATGGCAGAGATGTTTCTCCATCCTCACGTAGAGGTGGGAATGTTGACCGGTCCAGCCCACAGAGAGGGCAGGAAGGTGTGGGGAAGGGTCGCTGGCCTCCCCAAGGGGCCTCCCTGGGGTCCCTCTGAGCGAGTCAGAAAGGCCCAGATTGCAGGGAAAGAGGACCTATTCACATGTGCTCTGGGCACAGGAGCTGTGAGCCATGGCCGGCAGCTGCTGGAGGTTTTAATTATACTGACTTTGAAGGCAGGCGTCCTGCTGGTGAAATCGGGTTACACGTTGCGAGGCCCGGCCCTGTGTTGTGAGTGACGGTGAGCGAGGATCAGTTTCAGTGTCGGTGAACTCATCCACACCTCGTCTGGCATCTGAGGAGAACATTGCTGCTTTGTTGTTGCAGCAGAGGCACCTCGAGGAATTCGCGCCTGGACGCTGTTCCTCAGATCAAGGCTGCAAAGCTGTGAATTGGGTGGATGATTCTAAATGAGAGAGAACTTTAAAAGCACCTGGGGTTTGTCCTTCAACAGAATAGGAAAAAACTAAGAGAACTAGAAATGTATTATTACGCAGATAACTCGACTTCTGTCTGACCACATCCAGCACAGACACGAAAAGAGTCGGTTTTTTGCTAACAGTTGATCTGTTCTTCTCTCCCAAATAATCTGAATTTTAAATCCTGGACTTAAACTGATCTCATTCATCTTGTTTCTATCCTTTTTTTTTTTTTTTGTGGTACGCGGGCCTCTCACTGCTGTGGCCTCTCCCGTTGCGGAGCACAGGCTCCAGACGCGCAGGCTCAGCGGCCATGGCTCACGGGCCCAGCCCCTCCGCGGCATGTGGGATCTTCCCGGACCGGGTCACGAACCCATGTCCCCTGAATTGGCAGGCGGACTGTCAACCACTGTGCCACCAGGGAAGCCCATCTATCCCTTTTTTTATTTAATGTCAATCCCCCCCAAAACCCAAAATGTATTTGTTGTTTTGAAAGACAGTGAGATGGGAGGGCTCGTCGGAGCTGTTCCTGGAGCTGGTTTCAGCCCTCTAATCCCCGGACGCTCGTGGGCATCTTCTCACTTGGGAAGCAGGGTGATTGATACCCCTCTTTCACCGAGCTTCTGTTAATCTTGCTATAAACTGCTGTTAATCTTGCTTATAAACCATTCCCGAGGCTTACAATTTATCCTTGTGTCTTTCCTAATTTAACATTTTCTAGAAATCGGTGCCCTCCCAGAATGAGCTGGTCAGAGCTCATCACAGCACCTGGTTGGGTATCATTGAGTGAGAATGAGGTTTAGTCTCCTGGGTCAGGCCTTGACATAGAGCCGTCCTGGGAAATGCTTACACTGGAGAAGATTCCATTTCTTCCACTGCAAAGGGAAGTACTGCTCTCAGTTCCCTGTGTGATGTACTGTCACCTTTTCAACACAAAGCTCTTCAAATGGGGCAAAATTACACTTTTTCTTGCGGCTCATCATCTGAAGCTATTCAGTATCACTTTTGATACCAGAACAATCCCTCTGTCTGCCCAGGAAAGTTACAAAGATTTCGAAAGGAACTTTGTTACAGTGCTACAGCGAAGTCCTGGTTTATTGTCTTTGTATCCAAGAGCAAGACTTGCATGTACTAATTTACTTGGAGATTAGCATTCTACTTCAGAGTTAATAACCTGAGATTGATAGAAAACACGTGGGGAGATAGTGCAGCGTTACCAGTTTGGCCCTGGAACTCATCATGATCTTGAAGTATTGCCAGACTCAATCATTGAATGGTGGCTAGTCTGTGGTCTTCAGGGAAATCTAGCAGCACGTATTGGTTTGGCCAATTGATTGGGATCCAGTTATAATGTCATCCTGTCTTCATGGGAGAGGGTGCTTGGGCTTGCTGGTCAGCAAGTCCTGCTTCCTCACCAAGTAATAAAACCTGGCTTTCTGGTGTGCTTAGCCCTTACAGTAATCACTGCCTAAGACCTGGGAAAGCGCATTCGTAGAAGAGAGTCAGACGCTTTATATACGTTAGGGACCCCTAGCTGCCGTGGGAAACAAACCCCTAATTTCCAGGGGCTTTACCATCATAGAGATGTGTTTCCCTTGCATGTGACGCCATGGAGCTCTGTGCTGTCAGTGAGTCGGGACCAGGTGCTGTGTGTGGCTCGTCCCCCTCCTAGGTCGTTGGACTGGTCTGAGCACAGCTGGCAGCAGGGGCGAGGAAGGAACAGCTACTTAACTACCTTCAGCCAGAAGTGACGCATGTCATTTCCCCTCTGCTAATTCCATCACCACGAATTATCACACAGCCCACCCAGGAGCAAGGTGGGTGGTACAGCCCCTCTGGACCATGGAAGGGGGAGCACGAGCTCTGCAGGGAAGTTGGCCAACTTGGCCACATCCCTATGGAGCCCTGGTTTTCGAGGCAAGGGCAGGACCTGCACTTCTGACCACCTCCATTCTCTTAGAGCTGTGCCTGGGGAGACAGTGGTTTGCCCTTTATAGGCCCAAACCGGTATCAGCCGGCCCTGACCCACTATGGGGATTGTGTCTGTGAAGCCGTGGAGTTGATAAGCTCAGTCATTTGTACCTTCCCCCTCCCTCGGGATAATGATTGCCTTTATTATTTTCTCTTTAACTGAAGTATAGTTGATTTACAATGTTATGTTAGTTTCTAGTGTACAGCACAGTGATTCAGTTACATATACTTTTTCAGATTCTTTTCACTGACAGGTTATTACAAGATATCGAATATAGTTCCCTGTGCTCTACAGTAGGTCCTTGTTGTTCATCTATTTTATATATAGTAATTTGTATCTGCTAATCCCAAACTCCTACTTTATCTCCCCCTGCCTTTCCCCTTTGGTAACCATAAATTTGTTTTCTGTGTCTGAGTCTGTTTCTGTTTTGTAAATGAGTTCATTTGTATCATTTTTTAGATTCCAAGTATAAGTGATATCAGATGATATTTGTCTTTCTGTCTGACTTACTTCACTTAGTATGATAATCTCTAGGTCCATCCATGTTGCTGCAAATGGCATTATTCTTTTTATGGCCGAGTACTATTCCATTGTATATGTCAATATATATGTACCACATCTTCTTTATCCACTCATCTGTAGATGGACACTTAGGTTGCTTCCATGTCTTGGCTATTGTAAATAGTGCTACTGTGAAAATTGGGGTGCACGTATCTTTTTGAATTGGTTTTCATCTTTTCTGGATATATGCCCAGGAATGGGATTGCAGGATCATATGGTAGCTCTATTTTTAGTTTTTTGAGGAATCTCCATACTGTTTTCCATAGTGGCTGTACCAGCTTACATTCCCACCAACAGTGTGGGAGGCTTCCCTTTTCTCCACACCCTCTCCAGCATTTATTATTTGTAGACTTTTTGACGGTGGCCTTTCTGATCAATGAAGTTAGAGCACTCCCTCACACCATACACAAAAATAAACTCAAAATGGCTTAAAGACTTAAATGTACTTTTCTCATCTCTGTACTTTCCAATATGAACATAGTGTTCATATTACAAGCTACAGGTCCTAAGCATTCACTTTCCATTATATCATTTCACACAGAACTATTAATGATGTCTGTAACAAGACACAATCTAAAGTTGTTGATTTGAAAACCCTCCAAAGGTCATTTCTTTTTGGATAAAGCACTTCCTCATCAGTGGTGTTGGAACTCTGCAGGATTGGACCTCAGGGCGTAGTCGAAGGTGCCTCATTTTACACCGCTCAAGCCTTTGTTCACTGAGACTAACAGCGGCCACCCAGGCAGATGGTGCCCGTGGGTACCACGCACAGCTGCACGAGAAGGATGCGTGAGGCCTTTCAGTGCCCTGACGACTGACGTCCTGGCTCTTCCCTGCAGGTATCCGTTCCCCATGGTATTCAGCAGCTGCAGCAGGAAGGACCTGGAGGCCAGCCTGGAGAAGGGCATGGGTATGTGCCTCTTTAACCTGCCGGAAGTGACGCAGTCCTTTGGGGGCCAGAAGTGCGGGAATGGATATGTCGAAGAAGGAGAGGAGTGTGACTGTGGCGAACCGGAGGTGAGACAGACGTTTCCAGAATGTTGGTCTCGCGTTCGCGGCTGGGCCAAGAAGCAAGAACTTGAAGGAATTGTGCGGTAGAATGAAAGTGCTAGAAATGCAGGATGGAAAACTCCTACATGACCACCTTGAACAAACTTCATAAGCCAGGGTGGCCTTCTTGAATTTTAAGTATTGCATAGAATAAGTTGTATCACTGGTTTAAAAAGATAAAGAATCTTCTCTGTTGAAGGACGCAGCAGCGTAGGCAGGATGAGGACAGCAACGAAAAAGCGTTTAGCTTTGAGTTTGACAGAGAAGAAAGCCTTGGAATGCTGGCTTCAAATGGCTAATAAGTACCAAGTCTTTCTCTCTGTAAGGTGTGCACCCGAGGGGAATTTGAATAAGCAGCGTTCATTTTTAACCAAGAGCTTCTTCCCAAGTTGAAATTCTGCTCCTGCTGCCGCAGCTTCCTCTGTATGGACGACCTGAGGCGCCCAGGCTCCGGCCTGTCTGCTTCTTAGCTTTCAGAAGAAATAAGTGAAAGCAGGGAACATTTTTATCCAGCAAAAGGCGTATTTAACCCTGTTTTCCAGCCAGTGTCAGGACATTTTCTCATTTCTGTAGGGCCCAAGATAAAGTTAATCAACATCAAAATTCTAACAGCCATTTTTAAATCTCTGAATAATCTTGGGAAGGAAAGAGAAAGACAGGACGCAGTGAGACCACCTGGTGAAAGAAGTGCCCCCTCAAAACTTGAAGGAGGTTGATTTAGAATAAACCAAAGCCAATCATTTGTATAGCAGGCTGTCTCCATGTGGGAGTCCCTCCCTAAGAGCTTGTGCAAGCTGCAGCGGTAGTCAAGTTCAAGATGGGCTTAGCTAATTTCACAAACCGGCTTGATGAGGCCTTAGGAAGAGCATGCCTGGGAGGGGTGCTCTGAAAGGGGGATTCGGGGATGGAAGGGAACTTGCGCTGAGACTCTGGGACATCCCTCAAATTCCTGTGTTCGTCAAACAAACAAGTGGTTATAGAACCTTCATCATGTCCAAGTCTCTGAGCTTTCCCACATCAGCAGCAATGATTCTGGTCTCCATCTGACCATTTCTGTAAGAATATTGGGAGTGAACATAAGTCCTAGGGGATGGGGGTTGCAAAGGTGGTTTGGTCAAATGTTTTTGTGCCCTTGCCAAGATCAGGATTCATCCAAGGTCACAGCGCTGTCCACAGCGGCGTTCAGTTTTGCTCACAGTGCGTAGAGAATGGTTACTATGCAGGAACAAAGTCCTAAGTCCTAACAGAGACTCTTTTTCAGATTAGCAGAGGAAAACTTAAAACCGTCATGGGATGGGTTATGCAAAGCGGAAATTGCTTGGAGACTTTTTCTAATTGCTTAAAGAAAAAAACAATTAGTTTAAATTACTCCTGTTTCTCAGGAGAGGTCGTGTTGACTTAGAAATGGTTATCTTTTATCTGAACTCCTTGTAATTGTTTGTTAATCTAAATAAATTTGACAGCTCTTCCTGGAGCCATGAACTCTCAGGTTTGGAATGACTCTATTAGCAATCATTTATCCCATATGCCAGCACTGCCACCAGCATCCCTGCCACCCTCCCCGTCACTACTGTTAACATGTCCACCACCACCCCACCATCACCACTGCTGTCACCGCCATCACCACCAACCCCACCACTAGCATCACCACCGCCACCATCATGTCAGCAAACGCTCGAGTGCCTGAAATTCTCCAGCCTGATGTCGTGGTCTTCTCTCTTTTACCTCCATCAGGAGGTCACTCAGCTTTCCCAGGGTGTTTACTGTCTCTCCAGGCAGCTCATTGCAGGACAGCTTTGAAGAACTCGAACTCTTTGCTTACGTAAGAGCCGTGTTCTCCCTGCATGTAATTCCCAACTGTATATTTCTGTGCTTAGGGTCCTTATTTAATAGGAGAAGTTCTTGCTCTCTGAAGAGAACTCTCGTTCTCATCATCCGAAGTTCTTTCTTCCAAGAAATCAAAGTCGCAGGGAAGCCTTTTGCCTCAGTTCATCGTTTTCTTTCATTTTTCTTTTAAACTTCTTTTTAAAGTTTAAGCTCAGACTGTGTCTGAGGGTATGAAAGCCCATTTCCCAGTTTCCAAGCTGACCAAAACTTTTAGACCTGTGAACCTGGGTTCTTTACCCCCCACTCAGTGCTCAGGCCCTGGAAGTATCCATCATGCCTTTGTTTTGTATTGGCCTGCATATCCCCTAGACCATAAAGCCCTCCAGCGTCACCACATCAGTGAGTAAACGGGGTCAGAACAACTGCCCCAGCTCATGACTGGAACCAGTTTCTGTTCCCTTGCTCCCAGAGATAATGGCCACTGTTTTCAAGAAGGTGCATTGTCTTCTTAACCCCAGTTCATCGTGATTAAGAATCTCTGTCTACTACCTGCAACCCAAGAATGACAATGAGGGGCATTTGCTGAGAATTCTCTAATGGCTTCGTTCATTACTCTTTCTTCTTTGGACACTTAGTGTTCGTTGGCTCTGCTGAACTTCTCTATTGAGTACTAAACTAATAAATGCATCAACAGATGAAGAATTTGTCTCTTCTGATAGAGTTCTGCGGAAGGAATGGATTCTGGGTAGTTAAAAGGCAGATGAATGCTGAAGCGTTCTGTCCAGGGCACTGGTTGTATATCCACCATGAGGATTTCCTGACGACTTGCTCATTCTTCCAAGCTAATAGGGTTGGGAAAGCAGCCTTATCTCCTTGTTTAAAGTCAATAGGACGCCAGTAGCTTGCAAATATCCTTTAAACTTAGTTATCTCTCTCACATTATCAATCCCCTTTGAAGTCAAAACCATTCGACTTGGCTGTGTTTCCATTTGAATTGCTGCGTATGATATTTAGCGATTTGTTGGGGGGGTGGGAGTGAGTTCTTAAAGGATCTTAGGACCCAGTTTTAGGATGGCTGATTTAACTTAGAAGTGCAAGGAAGTCTGTAAGTTGGCTAATGTGTTATTAGGAGAGCCATTTAGGCCATGATGTACAGGACAACACTGCTGTACATGGGATGGCACTGATCAGGAGTGCCACGGATGGCCTCCGTTTAAAAGAACAAAACAAGTTCCTCAGTGTTTTCGGATTGTAAGTCCATGAGTTAGAAACCTTTCCCGTCCTGAAAGCTATGACTTCTGGTTGGCAGTTTTATCTTACTGTATATATTACACACTCCGGATGTTTATAAAGTCCTTGAGCAAATTTAAAATTTAATAATTTGGGATGTATGTATGATAGGAGCAAACAGTAGAAGGGAGCATCGTTCATAGAGTTTTACAAACGGTGCAGTTCAGATATCTGGTGAGCCATAAACCGTCTGGATTATCAACATTTTATTCATTGCGTTTATGATACTAATAAATTCATTCGTGGAAGATGGTTTTGGGGAGTAAACTATTATACTATTAAAACAGTATGTGATGGGCTTCACTCTAGCCATAGCATAGAAATTCTTCAGCACATATCGTATTAAATAAAATAAAAGGACATTGGTAAATTCAATCCTGAAGACTCTATTGAGCTCTTCTTTCTAATGATAATCAATTGCTTCTAAAATGTGTAAACTCCAAGTTACTGGAATGTTCTAAAGCACAAGATGTCATAAATATCCTGGATAGATATGTACAGGCCTTTTGTTGAGAGCTGAGCAAAAGGTATCAATCTCTTGTTTCATTTTGTTAGAAAAAATTAGGTGGCTGTGAAGCACAGTGTAACAGAGCAGTTCACTTCCTCTCTAGGGTTCATTTCACAGAGGACAATCCAGCTACTCTTTGATCTGTTTAAATCCTTTGCAGATCAGTGGGCACAGCCCGCGGATCTCCTTCCCAGCCTCTTGCTCGTTCTGAGGTGCATTTCTGACCTGAGGAGGGTCTCATCAGGTGAGACAGCCCACCTGTGCTGAGCAAGGATCCAGCTATGACGTCTGGTTGGATTGCAGGGAACTGTGTTTCAAACACAATTGATTGGACTTCATTTCCTGCCAATATGCTCTAGATTAAACTCTGGATCAGTCTTTGAAGGGTAAAGTGTGTATGCATCTACGTAGATTTTTAAATAAGTAAGTTCATAGGACTCCAGTGGTCCTGGAATTATTCACTGCATTAAGGCCAGCAGTCATCAGACAGACACACACACACACACAGCCTCACCCGCTGCTGACATGAATGGCCTCCCGGGCCAGCCAGCCTTCCTGTCCGGGTCCCTCACCCCACCATGAAAGACGCTTGAGTGCTACTGACTTTTCCCAGGGACACGCCCTCCCAGGCAGTTCATAAACACTTACCAGAAGCTTTGCTTTCTTCCAGAGGAAGACACTCCTCAGTCCGGCTAGTTTGCATCTCCAGAGCCAGGCCCTCTGGTTCTTTCCTCCCTTTTCAGTCACTTAAGGTGTGACCTTTGCTTTCTGTGAGTATTTGTGCCACGTGACCCTGTCAAACCCGTTCCGTCTCCAGGAGTGTCTGAACCTCTGCTGCAACGCCACCACCTGTACCCTGAAGCCGGATGCTGTCTGCGCACACGGACTGTGCTGTGAAAACTGCCAGGTGAGTGTCCTCCTGGTCCCGAGGTCACCCGCGCAGTCAGCTGGTTCGACAGTGACGCAGGGCAAGCGATGGGACAGGGCGACTTCCCAGCACTCGCTGCTGTGGAAACTGTAATCCTTATCACGCAAGTTGGTACCATCTATCTCCTATTTTTATTATCTTCCAATCTTCATGGAAATGTATAGTCTAATGCTAAGTCATCTGTGATAAATTATAATAATTATATAAATTATAATAATTTATAATTTATTTATTTATGAGTTCTTTGGTAAGTAGACCAAAGAACTCCAGCTCCATGTTAAATGTTCCGGGTCTGCTGTTGGAGGAAGGTTTCGAAAACCAGTCCCCACTGCTGTGGGGACTCATGCCGGGTCCCTCTGCTCCATCCCAAGAGCATCTGCCTGCTGGGTGAGGAGCTGCGTAGATTGTTCCAGGGCTCTTGTGTCAACATCTTGATCTTGACGTGCCCCCAGCAGAAGGTGCTGGCTGACCCAGCCCAGCCAAGAGTGGCAGTTTTATACTTTTGCCATTTTCTGCCACCATGCCTGCATTCATTTTGGCAATTCCGTTGTTTGTCTCATTATTCAGAGCTGAGATCTGCCAGAGTCAAAGCCTGAGCTTTTGATTCAAAGGTTCCAAGGGTTTTATTTCCTTTTAATTAAGCAATTGATCTTGGCGTTCTGCTTGCAGGAAACTCCCTCTTAGCGACCCAAGTAGAGCACAGTGTTTGCGAAGTGCGTTACGACATTTTACATTCAGCTTAAAGTATCCTTCATCCCCTTCCTACTTGTAATTAACTTACGGGGAACGAAGGTTGAAAGAGGCAGCTGGTGGTGGAGGTGCCTGGAGGGTGCTTCGGGGGTGGGACAGGTCACTGGTTGCGTAACCTCAGACAAGCCACCCTGAGCCATAAGTTCTTCAACCGCAAAAAGATGAGGCGTCGTTTGGCATCGTTGTTCCTAACATGCTGTACAACTCCCTTGCTTTACTTCTCTACATGCCCCTGTGAAGTCCTACAGACAGGTTTCCAGCTCTATGATTTGATGGCAAAGTAAAATTGCTGTTGTAAGTGTGCCCTTGGAATTATTTTTGTCACCTTGCCCACAAAGGCAAGGCGCTTTAAGCGCAAACGTCTTCTTAAAACACACGGTGGTGTTGGTGACCAGAGATCTTGTTCTTAAGAATCAATGGGTCCGTGAGGCAGCACCCGCTCCCCCCGCCACCGAGGTGCCAGGTGCCAGCCACCAGCTTGTCTGCTCACCAGAAAACCCTGATGTTGCATGAAATTAAAAAGAGGCTGATCTTAGTTCCCCCCCATAATGGAAAGGTGAACCTCAGAGCCCAGAGCAAAGCTGTTTATTTAATGAGCTCTCTCTGCGGTAAAGGGAACTTCCTTTGAAATCCTCGGCCCTCTGTGTGAAGCTACAAGAGGATGGTTCTGTTCCTATCCACGTCCGGAGTGTTGCTGAGACCCTGCTTCCCCCTTTCCCGCAGTCACGAGCTATAAACGGCCCTCTCCTTTCAGCTGAAGCCTGCAGGAACGGCGTGCAGGGACTCTAGCAACTCCTGCGACCTCCCGGAGTTCTGCACGGGAGCCAGTCCTCACTGCCCGGCCAACGTGTACCTGCATGACGGGCACCCGTGTCAGGGAGTGGATGGCTACTGCTACAACGGCATCTGCCAGACCCACGAGCAGCAGTGCATCACCCTCTGGGGACCAGGTACGTGGCCACCACCACCTGGGTGCAGAGGGCCAGGGCCAGGGCGCCCACTCTCTGTTCCCATGAGCATCCCTCCCGGAGCGCGCTTTCGAAAAAGCTTCCTTCTGTTCAGCTGGAGCGATTGGCTCTCTGGTGGGACTGGGGCCCTGCCAGGGACTGGGCACGCGGAAGTGGGTGCTGCCCAGAGCCTGCCACAAGGAGCTCAGTCCAATCCAGACAGAGATGTGTGAGCACCTACTGTGTGCCCGTGGGGTGACAGGGATAAACCAGCCAGGACCCCTGCCCTCAGACAGCTTAACAGGGAGTTGGGCAGACAGACGGCAGAACTTCCCACCACTGCCCTGACTGTGTTAGTGCTTCTTAGAGCCCAAGCAAGGACCCCAACCAAGGGCAGAGGGTGCTGGAGAGAAAGTCAGTGCTGCTGGAGGGCTGGGGGGCTGCCTTGGGAAGGCCCAGGGCAGACCTGATGTGTGAGTCTGTGATGGGGAAGGATGTGCAGAGGGGTAGCCCAGAGTGGGAGGCCCGGGCTCCAGAGGAAGAACACGGAGACATGTTTAAGGGCCCTGAACACCTTTGAGGTTCTTTTCAAGTTGTTTTTTTAATTTATTTATTTTGTTTTATTTATTTTTGGCTGCGTTGGGTCTTCGTTGCTGCGCGTGGGCTTTCTCTAGTTGCAGCGAGAGGGGGCTACTCTTCGTTGCGGTGCGCGGGCCTCTCAATGTGGTGGCTTCTCTTGTTGCGGAGCACGGGCTATAGGCACGCAGGCTTCAGTAGTTGTGGCTTGCAGGCTCAGTAGTTGTGGCTCATGGGCTCTAGAACACAGGCTCAGTAGTTGTGGCGCACGGGCTTAGTTGCTCCATGGCATGTGGGATCTCCCCAGACCAGGGCTCGAATCGTGTCCCCTGCATTGGCAGGTGGATTCGTAACCACTGCGCCACCAGGGAAGCTCCCCTTTCTGGTTCTTGAAGGTAGAGTGACAGACACGTGTGTCCCAGAAAAAGCACCCAGGTGGGAAGGTGGCCAGGAAGCGACCGCTGCGTGATTGGATCCCTTAGAGACTGTTCACCACTTCCCGGGCATGGGCCGCTGGGCCTGGGCTCCGTATGGTTTGGCCCTTGTAACTCTCCCATGACCCCTGAGGGAGAGACAATGACTACAGCTTTATGGAAGGCAAAGCTCAGACTCAGAGGCTGGAAGTTATTTCCCAAGGTCATGAGGCTGGGATTTGAACCCAGGTCCTTGTGACCCAGAGCCCAGGTGTAGTTCTCACGCTGTGCCGTCACCCCAAAGAGCCAGTGATCGGAAGTCCCACAGGTGCTCTAGAATTAAGTGGATGCACAGATGTGAAACGGGGAAGACTGAGTCCCCTGTGTCTCTCTCCTCCACTGCCCTCTCTTCTGGGGCCGGAGATCCAGGGCCTGGTGGGCGGCCCAGGGCATGGGCTTGTCAGCCCAGGGTTGGCCGCTTGTCTCCTGCGTTGAGGATTCTGGCAGTGAATTCCACAGGGTGTTTTCCAAGACTGTGGCCCCAACTGTCTTGTCATTCTTCTCCCTCTTCCCGTTGGTGGCAGGGTGACCTCAGTTCTGGCCAGGGGCCCCAGCTGTGGCAAGGGCACTGTGACCAGCCGGGCCCAGGCAGAGGGCCAGGGAAGCCCAGGCTCTGCAGGGGAGAGAAGTCTGATACGGGCCTTTGTCAGTCTTTATGGTGAGGTTTTGGGTCTAGGGGTGATGAAGGAAGTAAACGAGGGCGGAAAACAATGACTAAACCTCAGAGCTTGGGTTTTCAGTGTGACGTGAAAGCCGTGACCCAAGCGTGGAGAACGGGGCAGATGTTTCTTGGGGCTGGGGCCAGTCATGGAGCCCAGTCACCACCCCCCAAAGCCAAAGATGCCCTTGTGCGCTGGGAACTTTCTGAGGGAGCAGAGAGAGCAGCCTGGATGCAGCAACAAGGGCTAACACAGCCTCCGTTTATCCCATTCTCTGGAGAGTTCTTCCAGTGCCTCAGGTTTCACGGATGTGCTTGGGCAGGTGGAAGGAGAAGCTGGTGGTGCCTGGAGCCTTAGTGCTTTGTCCTTGGGCCCTGGCCTCCTCCCTGGCTAGGCAGGAGGGCCCAGGCAAGGTAGGGCTTACAGCTTCCAAAGCTTCTCAATGACAAGCACAAAGTAGTCACTCACTGTACACATGTCACATGGTTGTATGGGCTCTGAGTGGCGTAGTGACTTCAGACACCTTTTAGCCAAGTGGGGTCACTTTGGGACAGTGACTCCTGCTGCAGGCCAAAGCTTCATGGCCTGAAGCATCCCTAGTGGCCGTCCCTTCCCAGCCTTTCTCCGGACTCGGTAATCTCCCCTTCTCGAGTTACAAGGGATCTTATGACACTCCCTTCCAAGGAGCGTTCCATGGCCAGAGCACACACAGCACTTGGAGCTGTTGCAGTGAAATGTGGTCTTTGGTGCCCTGCTGGATTAGAGCGTCTGGCCCCAGTTCCAGAGTGAGTCAGATGGAGCCCCGCCGTCCTCTGAGCTCCCACCACCGAGTGACTCAGCTGGCTACGCGCCTTTGATTCATGGTGACCAAGGCTGGTATTCATTATCTCATCCGATTAGTCCTTCTCGAGCTGCCTGACCAGAGACAGACCCAGACAGGCGGACAAACTGACAGCATGACTCACAGACTGAGCTTTTCAAAAGCAGTGGAGTTACCTGCGTGGAACCCTCAACATCCTTGTGAGCGAGGGTGGGGACCCCGGGGACCGCACCACCCCCAGAGCAGGGGCTGCCTCCCCGGGGCTCCGGGCCGGCCCCTTCTCTCCCCTCCCATCCTCACCCTGGTGACTGAGGACGCTTTTGCCCGGGCGACGGTGGGCTTGCCATGAGGGGGCCATGGCACATAGACTAAAACATCTCTGACGTCAGAAATTCCGAGTTCCTGGAAACAACCAGCACGGGGACCAGGCTTGGGGAGCCCCTCAGGCTGGTGACTTCCTGGGGTTCCGTCTACCTCGGCCAACCCCTTCTTAGTTCTTGCGATCACCGCACAGACTTCCTCGGGAGAGCAGAGAATTTAGTGCCACCACCAGCTGTGGCACTGGTACAGTGGCCCTCTGTACCAGGGGGCTTCTTGGAAGGGCCTTCACCCACCCCCTTTGCAAATGTGGTGTGTTCCTTTCCTTATATCAGTGTGGCAGCCTCACTGTCAGGTTCAAGGGCACCATGTGAGTTTCCTGTGTGTGCTCTAACTCAGTGGCTTACAACAACACGAATTTATCATCTTCTAGTTCTTGGGGTCAGACGTCCTAAAATCAAGATGCTGGCAGGGCGGTGTTACCTTTAGAGGCTCTAGGAGAAAATCTGTCTCCTGGCCTTTTCCAGCTTTGAGAGGCCGCCTGCAGCTCCTTGGCCCCTGGCCCCTTCACCCACCTTCAAGGCCAGCAGCACAGAATCTTCAAATCTCTGTCTCTCTCTGACTTCTGCTTTTGTGGTCAAATTTCCTTCTCTGACTCTGACCCTCCCTCCTCCTTCTGGTAAGGACCCTTGTGATTATATTGGACCAGATCACCCAGCATCGTCTCCCCATCTCAAGATCCGTAACTTAATCACATCTTCAAAGTCCTTTCTGCCAAGTAAGGTCACATAGTCACAGGTTCCAAGGATTAGGGCATGGACCCTTTTGGGGGGCCATTTTCCGGCTACCATAGGCAGTGAACAGACCACTTATTGGCAGGGTGACCTTCAGCAGGTTACTCAACCTTGTTGTACCCCGTCTGTAAAGTGGGGAGAGTAATACGTCTACCGCACGGGTGTATCATTGCCCTCCAACATAGCTTATTATCTATTTCGTATATGTGAGTACATTACATGTATATATCACATGCAGTGGCATGCAGCTTGCGCAGTGCCTGGGGCCGTGGGGAGGGCTGAGATCTGATGGGAAGAGAGAGGGGGCTCAGCCTGGGGTGAAAGGGGTAGGGGAGCCAAGCAGGAAGGCTCCAAGCCGAGGTTGCCTTGGAGTGGTCATTGCCGGGGTGGGAGAGGCGGGGACTTCCTGCGTGTGGAACAGCAAGGGCTAAGGTGCACAGGAACGGGGGGCCATCTCAGGGAACTGCGGTCACTTCTGCTTGTCCAGAGCTTGGGCTGTGACCTGGAGCGCAGAGAACCCCGTCTGCTACCCCCTTCTCTCATTTGCTAACAGTTCAACGACGTCCTGCTATTGTGAGATGCTGACCAAGAGCCCTGGTCTGCCAGAGTGACGTACTTCCCACAGTCCCAGTGCACTCTTACCTGGACCTCTGCAGTAGAGTCGGGATGTGACTGTCACAGTTCCAGGGGCAGAGGTCACTTCCTCGGCCAGGTCCCGGCCAGCTAGATGTGCCAGGCTGAGAGCAGCATATTGCTGTGTTACAGTGGTTGCTTTGAATTAGCTTTTCATGTTTCAGAAGAGGAAAACTTATTGTCAAGGATACATTTGCAATCTTTCATTTCCCATCCTTTAGCAAACGCTCTGGGATCAGGGCCACATTTGCTTTGGGGTCATTTCTGACCCCCTGTGAAGACAGTAACTCATAAATCTAGGAGTCGCCGAGCTCTTGCTCTGCCGGCCCTCGCCATTGGCAACTTGGCCAGACTCCTCCGTTACACTCAGGAAGTCAGTTAGTTACTCACTCCCCAAATCTGGCTACCCAAACACTGACCAGATGAAGCCCTTCCTTCCAGCTAACTATTCCCTTTTGAGATGGACTTTTCTCAATCCAGCATTATATTTCAATAAAATAATCCTGCTTCCAAATCTTTCTACAAATAAATGATAGAAAATTCAAAACATATGCCTGCAACTCGTAACTGGCAAAGTCATATACTTTTAGAATACCTTTTGGGACTTTTGTTCATCCACTTGTTTTCCTAGTTATTATTGTTGATGATATTCTTGCTGGCCCGGAGTTGACTTTTTTTTTTTCTCAGTGATTTTTCTTCCACAAATCTTGCATCTCAAGACTATCTGGTG